TGTGATTCTTCTCCTCTGTGCAATAGTTTTCAAATTACACCTGAGCACTACCACCAGTTTAGAACAGTACAAGTTATTGACATAATGCAGTAAATCCAGTGAAGGACTACCAGGAAGGTTTCAAGGCTGAAGCACACAGCGTAACAGGAATAGGTGAGGGAATTGGGCTCATTCAGACCTAGTAAGAGAATGCTAAGGGGAAATCTTACTGCCATCTTTTGCTGTCTTATGTCAGGGTCTAAACTTAATACAACATAGGGACACATTCCTTTCCTAAGAAAACCGAGGAGGTTACTGGTGATCAGCTGTCTGCAATGCCCACACCATCTCTAATGAAACTGGTAAACCGCAGCAAGAGTAATTTACAAGAAAGTAACAATAGCAGAAGAGAAAGGTTAAGATGTCATCACATACTAGGTTTCTATTGAGGTAAGATAACCAGGATCAGTAACAGAAATCTTAGTTTCTTCTTTTAAGTTTAAAAGATGTTTGACTCTATTAGAAAAGGAAAAAAAAATGCCTACCTCAACAGGAGTTTAAAGTGTAGCAGCCTGCTCAGACAGCCAAGTGGAATTGTCCCCACTGCATGTCAGTAGTGAGCGAAACCAATTGGGTTATCATCACAGCAAGGCCCTTTGGGCAAAGTAAGGTGTACATGACAGATCTAACTAGGATGAGGTGTTCCAATATCTTCTAGAATCTGAATTTTTCAGTGTCAGAAAGCTTGTGTCTCACTCAAGGACAGCATGGAGGGACCTACACCCCTCTTAGCAGTAACGAATTCATCTAGCCTTTCCAGTACAAGGAGGAAACCTGACTGTGAGAATTACACTTCTACCCTTAACAAAACTGCATTAAAGCCCTCAGAAAATCAATAGCCAACAGACAGTTTTGTCCAGCTGGCATGAATCCTACACAGAGTGCAACATTTCAGCAGGACATCACTAAAACCTGTGAAGGAGGAAATACACATCAAATGCCAAGAAAGCCAACCAAGAAGAAGCATCACTCACCACTTTACTTTGCAGGTCTGTGTGTTCCATTCCACAATGTGTTTGTCCTCTGAACAGCTATACAAACAGTAGTTGTCCTGGTGCCACCTCACACAATTTATTCTATTGTCATGACCACCATCCTACAAAAGAGAGGGTCACTTATGAATAAATGAAGAAGTCTTGCTACTGAGTCTTCCCTACCATCAACAACGTGATCAAGCTGCTCTTTCAAGAACTGAATTCAAATCACTGGCAACTCATAGAGGGGTACACAACATGCAACTTTTTTTTTATGCTTTTAAAGATCAATACACATTATACAATTATAAATTACAAATACTTCATATTTTGGTTTGTATTTGGACTAATTCTTGTCCTAGGACTTCAGAGTTAACAAAAAAAATTGTCTTGTCCGCTACCAACAGCCAAAGCTGTCTAAACAGTATGAAATTTTCTCAAAAGAATGGCTAGCACATGTCTTGCTGATAGTTACCTAAGTGCTTGATTAAGTACATTTAGAGATGGGTACCCTTCTCTTCATGCTCAGCATTCAAGAGTGTGCAATCATCAAATCAGAAGACCCTACAACAGGTATGTATCATCTACCTTTCTTAATGAAGGACTGAAATATCTGCTGGACAAATCAACAAATCTTTTAATCATTTATCATATTTTCTGCAGTTTATAAAATTTCATGATTTGAATCAGCAACAGCCAGCTCAGACTGCTTCCAAGGAAGTCACTGTAAATTGGCCTTGAGCAAGACAAAAACCATCAAAGCAAGACATTCTGTTTAATAAGGACAGCTAAAAGTGACAGCTCTATTTCTAGCAGGAATAATCTTTTGATTCAACCTTTATGTATAAAAAAGTACTCGCTAAATATCATCTGCTATGCCAATAATATAGAAGAGCAGACTGTTTCCAAACTGACCCACACTGTGAATTTTACCCTAAAACTCCTTTACTTTGTTCATAGTTTTCAGGCCTAAGAAAATTTTCCATAAAACAGTGTTGACACTGTTGACCTAGTGTCACTTGGATGCATCATGATTTTAAGATGTCCTGGCTTTCTCCTAATCCCTGTACATTTATCACTACGAGTTTAGAAGCAGAAGAATGTGCCCAAGTATATCAAAGTATTGCAATAAGTTGCTTATACAGATTCACATTATTTGTTATATAACCCAAGCCTAAAAACAAGTTACTTGGGAGTAGCAGAAAAGCTAACAATGAGAAGTAAAAACTTTGAAAATCAGAATCCCATCTGAGAAAGATCAGGTTCTGAGAGGGTTCCAAAGCTTCCACAAGGAGGTAAGTTTCTATCTGTACAGAAGATTCCATCAATGCAACTTTCACAAGAGTCAATGAATGCTTCAAATCTGCCCTCTTTTCCCATAGCCCTGTGCAGAGGCAAAGGATACGACACTCCCATGGAGGACCTAACCAGTTAGACATTTCATCAGTTCTATCACACCGAAGGTAAAACAATAAACCCACATACAATATTAGGATACTGCATAAACTTTCAAACCAAGAGTTCTTGATGTGTACATACTGCTAACAATAGAAAAAGTATCATTCAAACATTTCAAATTTGAATTACTGCCCCTCTATTCATATATGTAGCTATTAAGGAAAAAAAAAATGATTAATTAGGTCAGTTTAGGATAAAGTGACTGACACCGCCACTGTTTGGTAGCACGTGATGAAGAGTGTGTAACTTACTAGCTTGCTCTGTAACTCTCCTTTAACTGTGCTGTACAACAAAATGCTACCAACTGCTGTGCCAATAGCCAGGATATCCAACTGCTTGTCCACTTCTACAGCTTCAGACTTCCGTTTTTTCCTCTGGGGCCCATCCTGGAGAATTGGAGAAAAAAAAAAAAAGAGAAAAGAAAAAGTGAAACAAATTGGTCTGACCAGCTATTCTTAGGTGTTAAAGCAAAGGGTAAAAAGCTTCTGCAAGTTTGAGACCCAGTCAGCCAGCACAAATCCGCGGAGGCATAAAATGAAGACACTGAAGCACACAGAACCTTGAGGTTCATCTTGTACCTCCATGTACAACCATAATGAAGTTGATATGAGTCACTTGGAAATATTCACTGGAGGCCATTTTGCTAACCTAGCCACCACATATGAAGGAAAAAATAAATAATCAAGTTTTTCACAGAGCTCACTTCCCAGAAGCAGAAGTAAAGATGAATACAGTCACATAATTTCATCCCCTGGATGGAAACGTGTTTTTATCAAGCTTGATCAGTTTACCATTTCCAAAAACCTATTCAGAAAAGTTTTGCAAACACTAAGTATTGATAACGCCTCTTAATAAGAAAGTGTTAGGCCACTTTGCAGAGGGAAGCAACCAGGACTTGAAGCTAAGTCACCTGTCCAAGCCCTCCTCTGATCAGGCAATTCTCAAGCCTTCACCCTCTCACTTCGTAAGTGATACCAATCACTTTTGGAAGGAGTTTCCGTTCATCTTGCTCTACCAAATGCACACTAAATTGAAGTAAGAAAAAGGCAGAAGAAAGAGCTACATTTATTCTTACAGAGTTAATCCCACATAGCTAATCACCAGGAAAAGAAAAAAAAAATGGAAAAAAGTGTTTGAGCACTTTAGAAGAAAAAAAAAAAACATCCCTAATGCCAGTGGTTAGTTTTTAAATTGGACTTTTGTATGTCTCCTTACATTTGTTACATCATAGCAAAGCATTCTCTCAGATTAAAAATAATACCAAAAATACAGACAAGGTAAGGCTTTCTCTACACAACAGATACACGCAGTAACCAACAGCCAGACAAAGGCACAGGAGACTCAGATAAAACATGGGCTCTGTGCAAACGCCACGTAGTGCAGCTAATCTGTCATACAATAGACATCACACAGCAGACGTGAGTAATTTCTACTCAGCCCCAGAGATATGATTACAATCAGGCTTCAGGAGTTTTCATTACAATTAAAATTTAAAATTTTAACAGTGCAGGGTAAATAGTTGTTTGAATTACTGGGACTTTTCTTCCCCTCCATATTTAACATACACAATGTTTTCCCCAAAGAAAAGTGTTTCGTTTGGAGCTAGTAAATACAAAAATGCTATATTGCTGGTTTAAGACAAAAGCAGACTCTAGAGAAAAGAGAGGACATTGGCTTTTTTGCAGGCAATTGTTTAGGCTTCATCCTTCCTGGGAAAGGAAAGTGTTTGGAAAATATAACGAAAACATAAGAGCTAGGAAATCATCACAGTTACAACGCACAACCAAGTAATCAACCACATTTTAAGACAATATGAGAAAAGGCTCACACACTAGTTAAATTTTTGGCAGTGATGCCAACTAAGCCATCTCAAAACACGTGTCAGAAATGCAAAGACTGGGACCACACAGCCAGTGGAGATCCAAGTACAGTTTGTCTTTCCAGGCACTTTTCAAAATCTCTTTATGTACTTTTATTAATCACCACTACCAGCCAGGACTGCAAATCAAAACCACAATTAAAAACAGATTTTATTCTCTTCCCTTCCATAAAGCTTTTAATCAGAATTCATTCACCTTCTATTTCAGTTTGTGACTGATGTCCCATTAGGGTCAACGGTGCTTCCAGTGTCTAGGAGAAAGCTAGGGGCAACAAAGGTTTCTCCAATTTTATGTTTTAACATCTACTGCTTTACTGAACACGCTCTATCAGCACCACTAGAGGGTCATTTTGTCATAACTTTTTGCTTGAAAGAACTATCAATGGAAAATTCAGACACCTATTAACGTTTGAAGTGACAAAAAAGCATAGCTTTCATGGAGCAGACAGTGGAGATGAACTCTTATCTAAAGTATCTGGTCCTTGCAAATTTTTCCAGGTTTATGGACAATCAAACTTGTTTAGAAATACTGAAAAAACATAGTTTTAATAGCTGAGATGGTTAGAAAAAGTTTTTTGCAAAGGGTAATTTTTTTTTTCATAATGTTCTTTTTTATGTAGGGCAGCTGTGGAGAATGAGATTTTTTTTTATTTTTTTTTTACTTTGAATTAACAGAAAATTCATCCCCATTGCTAACACATGAAGTAAAACACTTAGAACGCTGAAGTGGGGGGACTGTTAAGGAGACTTAAGAGTTGAAGGTGAAAAGAATAGTTGTGACTTATAGGGAAGAAAGTGGAAGAAGCTATTTTGAAAGTTGGTGGTCGGCATCCTCTTGCAGAACATACCGCTGCATGGTAGGGGAGATGGTGAGCAGGGCAAGCAGGAAGCACTGACACTGCAGAAGCACGTGTGCAGGGAACATGCCAATCAGCCACCACTGCATCAGCAATTCCAGGGCCTGGAATTAAAAACTTCATTTCCAGTATTCCCCTTGAAACACACACGTTAATGTGGCAGCAGTCCAGAACGTGGTTTAGGTGTGACTTGTTGAAACAATTTTTATAGGTATTTATTGGCACAGTTTTACTCCTGAACACCAGATACTAGTACTACCCATGGAGATGTCAACTGCCAGCAAAAAGAGGAAAAAAGACTAACCAATACAAGAGAAAATACATTCATTTCGATGTATTTGGAAGAGCCATCACAACTGCAGTTCTGCAGCTTTGTCTCAGGACAGCCCAATGAATTATAAAAGTTTATGGCAAGATTATTCCAAGAAGCAGTATGTTTTGAAACTGAAGAAGTACCAACTTCCAAGCAGGGGACAGCATTCAAACTGCTGGAGTAACAGAAAGCACCAGGAGACCAAAGTTTGTCTGATGAAATTCTTTTTCCATACAATGCTAAAAACAGTTACATTGTAGCATCTGTAGCTTTTAGGGGTGGCTGTCTAGAAAGACATTTTTAACATGTTTTTAACAGGCTTTAAAACTTTAAAAAAAATAAACATTTTTAAAAGTCTCCTGTGGTTGACCTAGGACACCAAAAACAGTGCAGCATGTTAGTTTTTGAAGCTGCACTGCACGAAGCAGAGGTTAGCACCGCTTTCATGTGCCAGTTTCAGTTTATGTAAGAGCTTAGTTCCTGCTCAGCCTTCTAATCAATGTGTGCATTTTTTTCTTCTAAAGTGTATTAAAAATGAGTAAGTTAAAGGCCAATTTAAGACTAATGCTTTCTTCAAACAGCCTTTTTTAAAAGTTGCTAATCTGAGCTGCTCAACTGACAAAAATGGGAAAAAACAAGTCTTCTTTTGGACGGGCAATCTAGAGTGTGTTATGCACCTCAAAATACCTGTTAAAGTATTTTTCATAAACAAAAATGTTAATATACCAAGGCATGTTAAAAAAAAGTACTTGTTATGACAAAGGGGGTGCATCACATACAACTGTCCAAGGTATAAGATTTACTCAGGAAATGGTATGGTCTATGTAAAAGACAAGGAAATGGCATGGTCTAGCTAAAGGGATAAAGATTACTTTGACATAAATAGGATGGAAGGAGTGTATCTGACGGTATATAATAGAGGTATTTTCACGTTGAGCGTCCAGTTGAGCTGAAGTAACTGAAATTCAAGGTGGGAAGTGTCCAAGCCCTCCGATGCGTGCTCAGATGTGTGTTGCCGCATACAGAGTACCTGCTTGCAGGGTTCCTGAGGTGAGGGAAGCGTGTTGCCGGCAGCACAGCCGTACTGCTGAGCCGGGGAGGAAGAGGCAGGGCCTGCACCGCTCCCTGCCCGCACGTGGACGCGGGCAGCCTCCCGGTGAGGCGTGCTGTGGCGAGCCGCGACATACCTTGCTCCTCGCAGAAAGCCTCCTTCCACGCAGGGGGGGTACAAAAGACAAACGGTGGTGGCGGTCAGCGCTTTTTTAGAATTGAAGAAAGAAGGAGAGAGCCCTCACGGCGCCGGATGAACACCTGAAAACCCCCTTCCAGCGAGCAACCCCGCGGAGGGGATGGGAGGGAGAGAGAGGGGGGACCCCCCCCAACCGCCACAGAAGAGACGCGGGGATGGGGCCGGGCCCAGCCTCGCCCCCTGCCCGCCCGCGGGGCTCTCCCCGGCCACGCCGCGGCCCCGCCACATGGCGCCGGGAGGGCGGGGTGAGGCGGCACGGCCGCGGTCCGCCGCCCCCCCACACCCCCCTCACCCCCTTCACCTCCCCTCACCGCCATCCCCGCGCCCCCCCCCACCCCCCACCCTGCTCCGTACCTTATCGGGGGGCGGGCGCCCCCCCGGCGGGGCCCAGGCCAGGCAGGTGCAGGCGGCGCTGAGGTGGGCGGAGGGCACGTACTCGTGCCGCAGGCGGCTGCCCGCCGCCTCCCAGACTCGCAGCCGCCCGTCCGAGCCGCTGACGGCCAGCAGCCGCCGGTCGCAGGGCGAGAAGGCCAAGGGGGGCCGCGCCGCCGCCTCCCCGCCGCACGCTGCCGCCGCCGCCATGGCGCTCCCAGCCCGGCCCTGCCGCGCCGGCGCAGCCCCGGCCGCGTGTTCGCCGCCAGCGCCTGCGCCGCGCTCCCCGCTGACGCCGTTCCGGGCCCGGGCAGGGCGGAGCGGAGCGGGCCGGGGGTGGGGCGAGGCCATGGCGGCCTGGAGCGGGGTGCGGAGGGCGCTGAGCGGCGGGAGGAGGCCGGTGTGGGCCGCCTCGCTGTCCCCGGAGGAGAGGCTGCGGAGGATGCTGCCGCCGGAGCAGGGCGCGGAGGAGCCGAGCGGGGCTCCCCGGGCGGTGCCGCCGCCGTTCCGTGCCGGGGAGCTGGCGCTGGTGGAGGCGCCGCGCAGGCAGCGCGCCCCGCTGCGGGCGCTGTGCCGGCTGGCGGCGGGCGCGGCGCTGGGAGCCCCCGGGGGGCTGCTGCTGCCTCACGACAGCGTCATCGGGAGGCTGCCCGGGGAGGTGGTGCGGCTGCGGGGCGGCGGGAGGCTGCTGGTCAGGAGGCCCTCGCTGGAGGAGTACGCGCTGCTCATGCCCCGAGGGCCCGCCATCGCCTACCCCAAGGTGCCCGGGGAGGGGTATTTGGGGGAAAGGGGGATGGGGGAGCAGCCTTCGAGCTGGTAACGCGGTGCTTTGCTTCTCCCCCCCGCAGGATATCAGCGCCATGCTGATGATGATGGACGTGCACCCCGGGGACACCGTGCTGGAGGCCGGCAGCGGGTCCGGGGCGCTCAGCTTGTTCCTGTCCAGAGCGGGTGAGAGACAGCCGGGGGGGGGGAGGTGGAAGCGGGGCCGTGCCCTGAGGGCATGTGGGGTGCGTGTGTGTGTGTGTGTGTGTGTGTGTGTGTGTGTGTTAACCAGGCAGCGGCGGCCAAAAGCACTTGAAGGTAAACTCCAGCTGCATGTTGAGTGCGGGCATGCAAAGGGTCCCTACGGGTCCCACAGAAAGCTGAATTTCACCTCTTGGTGCTGTTGGCTTTCTAGCTGATTAGGCCCATCCTCCTGGCTCACACCTTTCTCCGTTTGCTTTTCCCCATCTCATTGCACCATTGGAGTAATGAGATTGCTGGGTACCAATGAAAATTATTTTTTTTTTTTTTTTTTTGGAGCTAGATCTCAGCACTCTAGCAGATGGAGAGCCTTTGTTTGCACTCATCGTCACTGTTGTGTTTGTACCACCTAATTCCATTAACAGCTGGTTCGAGGGATAACTCGGCAGAAATCTTTTCCTTTGTCTAGGCTCTGGGTTTAGTTTCCCACTAGTTTAGTGCCCTAAGCCTGTGCCCTGCATGGCCAAAAGAGAGCTGGTGTCTGCAGCAGGGAAGTGATAGGCAGATGTCACTGACTGGGGCAGAGGTAGGCAGGACCTCCTTGCAGTACCCCATAGATAGGTTAGTTTTGCTGGAATCCATCTGTTTTGTAGTTGTTTGAGGAGAAACCTCACCCTTAAACCTCATCTCATCCATAGGCATCCTGGTAGCGGACCACAGTTCGGAGTAGCTTGATTGATGGGATCCTGATAGAAAAACTTCATTAAGGAATAATAAAAGATACCAGATTGTTTCCTGTAATTGTTTTTGCACAGACCTGAAAAATAAAGCACTATTTTTTCTAACTTTTTAAATGCATTTCTGCATTTGCAGAATATTTAGCCTTCCCTGCAACATTAAAAGAAGTTTGAGGGTAAAGGTGGAAATGTCATCGCGGCTCATCTTGAGCTGATAAGAGAGAAAAGCACAACTTTCGTATCTTGAAGGCTGTGTTCAAATATACAAGGTTTGTGGGCAGCTCACTGTCACTGTAACTGAACACCTGCTGGCTTACCATAACAGATCTTTGAAAAGTAGAAATTGTGATGTATGCAAAACTCACATACTGCAGCTTCACTATAATGGAGGAGTTTTGGTTTTTTTTTCCAGCTAACTGGTTGTCCCTATTTTTCTAGAAGTCGGTTTTAAAATGTAGGAAACTACAATGAACAGAGTGAGGAGTAAGAGTGACTCCAAGGTGAACAGTTTTATTCTTCAAATATTTCCAAATTTTTAGTCTTGAGTAGTAAGGAGTTGGTGCTGCAATTCTACAATTGTTTAAGATGATCTAAGGCTAAAATTCTCCCTCCTTTCATATTGATTCTGGCCTCTGCCTGCTGCAGGGTGAGCTAGGTCATGGAGAGATTGGCAGGAAGCCCATCCCTTATTTTCTTTGTGTTTTTTTTTTTTTTTTTGGAATCACAGTGGGATCAAATAGGTGAGGGAAGGAATCTGTTGACTCCACCTTAACATGGCTTAAAAAATCCTGGAACATTACCTGCTGAGCTTCTCATTGCAGAAACCTGGATTTGCCCATTAAAAAGTAGCAAGGAGAAGCAAATGGTATGATAGGTTTGAGAAATTAGAATAATGCAAGTATAGAATAATAGAGCAATGTATACATTGCTCGCTTTGCCTGGATAGCCTGCTAACACTTCCTTTACAAAGAATATTATACAATAAATTTCAAGATAGTAAAACTTAAAACAAATAATAAAATAATGTATAACAGTCATAAACAATAACATGAAACTAACACAACCACGTGTAAATCAGGAAGTACATGAGGAAAACCCGTCTATGGGACTGAGATCATCGAGCAGGTCTGGGGGGTTCTTATCCCTTCCTCAATTCTGATGAAGGGAAAGGTGGAGAAAGAACAGCAAACCTTTGTTTTTAATAAACAAAAAATCAGAACCATCAAATATTTAAAACCATCACTTTCAAATCTTATTAACAGAAGCAGTGACTATCTGTCCCCTTCATAGCATCTGTGAGTAGTGACCTGCATTACAGCTCTTTCAGCTGCTACCTCTGGTAGCTGTAGTAGATGAATCACAAGTAGATTGGGCCACAGATATTCAAGTCATCTTTTGCTGCAGGAGTTACTTTGGAAGGACATCTTAGGAATACTTTGCAATGCTGTAAATATGTTTTGTTTCTATCTATCGATTGATTTCAGTCTATAGAAGAATTAACCCAGCACTTTATCTGCATATATTTGTTTTAAATGTAAGAGAAATAATAAATTGTAATTGATTGTTTCATATGTGGTTATTTCCTAAAGTGAAGTTGAGATTTAACAGCGTACTTCTGTCACTTACAATGCTACCTTTTCCTAAATTCTTTATTGTGGATGGGGAGAAAAAAGTAGTAAATGTAGTATTTTTGTTTGTTTTAAGTTGGGCCCAAAGGACGAGTTATAAGTTATGAAACCAGAGATGATCATCACAGTTTAGCAAAGAAGAATTACAGGCACTGGCGTGCTGCATGGGAAATAGGGCATATGGAAGAGTGGCCAGATAATGTGGATTTCATTCTTAAAGACATCTCAACAGCTGCTGAGGATATGAAATCTGTAACATTTGATGCAGTAAGTGCAATAAAAATCCCTTCATATGACATAAATCAATGCTTATATTTTCTATATAACTTGAAACCTCTAGTGCTCACACTTGCAGTAGGATCCCCAAATCTAATGTGATTGCAAAAGCAATCGGGTGATCACCAATGAAAGAAACACCATGATTTTTTCATCAGGGTATGGGTATTTCAAGGTTTCAATTACACTTTCCCATGTAAGAGTGATATGCTATAGTAGAGAAATATTAAAATTACTCACTGTTGTCTTGTAAGCGAAGATACACTTATTTTCTTGTATTTTGGAGAAATGCAGAAGATTTTGTATTTGAGTAAGACATTTCAAACATTAAGAAAAATATTCAAGCTTATTAAATTGTGAATACTTAAACACTTTGCTACCAGCTCTATGGAATACATAATGTTCCTAAGCAAACAAACTGCTTATATTAACTCTTCAAATAAATTACAATTGTGTTAAAGGATTTAAATGAAGAAACAAAATAGCACAAAAATATCATTTTTGAAAACTTTCAACAATCCACAGGAAGGATCAGATGCATCCTTTCTCACCATTTCAGTTTGAATAGTTCTCTAGCAAAACATGGATAAATTGACAAATAAGTTTTCTCAATCTTGAAACAAGGAGCAAGTTAGACATTGAAACTTTAGTGTGATCACTGTATTATGCAGACGCATTGAACTTTTTAATATTTGTAAACAGGACATCTAAAGCTATTCCTAAATATAGTCTTACAGAAGTTTTTATTAAAGTGAACATTGTGGAGTTTAATTAGGAGGAGGTTTAACATTTCTACAGTACTACTGTGTTGGTGAAACATGACTTGTGTTGATAGACATTTCTCTAAGCTGTTCAGAAGCAGTAATAAAACTAGTTTGCAGTGACATGCTGCTATAGTATGCATTCATTTTTCATACATATATGTTGTTTTTCGAACACCGTTGTTATGGAAAAAATAATCTTTCTCTTGCAGATAACTCTGGATATGATTAGCCCTCAGTCTGCTTTATCTGTTGTACACCCAAGTCTTAAACAGGGTGGTGTATGCACTGTATATTTAGCAAAGTAAGTATTTAATTCTGGCACTTAGAAATTTCTTCAGGCATCACCTGAAATTGTTACAGAACCAAGCACCTCCTAAAACATACATCCAATGTAAATGTAGTAATTAAAAAAAAAAAAATTGCAATTTTCATTTATTTCGGTTTTTAGGAGTTGTATAAATTACACTTGCTATATCTTTTGGTCTGTACTTCAGGAACTATGGTCAGTGGAAGTTTTTAGTTAATGACATCCTCAAAATTACTATGTACTGTTTTCAATTTCAAGTTAGGTTGCTATTTCCTTTACCCTAAAATCGAAGGACTTGTATAAACAAAGGTGAAGAATGTGACAAAGGCAATAGAATTGAGGCTAAGTTTACTATATTGATTTCAGTTTTCAAAGTATTTATCCTTTGTATTTCTTCAAAAGCATCACACAGGTTATCGACCTTTTAGACAGAATACGGACCTGCAAGCTCCCATTTTTATGTGAAAGTATTGTTGAGGTAACTCATAGAAAATGGTTGGTACTCCCTGCTAAAATCAAGAATTGCAAATCAAGCCAAACAGCAGAAACTCAGGAAAATACTGAGGAAGAAACTCACCAAAAAGACTATGATGAAATCCATATTCAGGATCAAATAGTTCTTAAAGACATTGAATGCAATGGTAAGAACGTTATTGTTAATGAGCTAGCCTGTTACTAGAATTTTGATAACCCAGAGATACAATGAAGGCAAAGTTGGTTTTTTTGTTCATTTTAGGAAGATGAGGGTTGTGTTTGTTTGTTTTTTTTCTTCGAGGTCAACATTTTGGACAACATTGTCAGATTTGAAAAAGGATTTATTAATGGTCATTTAAATATCTTATTAAAAATCCAGACTAAATAGAAAATAAATGGCAGTCAGCACATACAAAATGACTGTCCTTCCACTACTATTTTCAAATAAAATTCAGTCCTCCATACTCAGCCTATTGCTGTTTTAGAGAACCCTGGTGGGCTCAAGGATTCCATAGCAGAAATGTTACCACTGTGCTCTGTATTCTAATTGTGCTGTTTTAGCAAATACAGAAAATATACCTTATACAAATATATATACTTGTAAATTCTATTATAGAGCATAGAGGTCTGAATGTACTGATAAATGGCAACAAAACAATTAAGAAAAACAGTAAGAAAATGAAAAGATGTCAAGGAATACTGCATGTGCGTTGCTAACTGTAGTCTGTTTTGTTGTTTTTTCTTTGAAAACTTGTTGGAAAGAATTACAAAAGGATGTATTTCTCACAGAATCAATTTCTGATGATGCTGAAACATACTGCTCGGTACCTTACGTTGCTAGACCATCTAATTGGCAGGATGCTCATTCAGGTGAGACAGTGTATTCTATATATTTTTTTTTTGTACTAGGACTTCACATGTTACTATATCATGAAATCATAACATTTATAATAAACTAAAAATTTTAAATTGAAATACTGAAGTAGTAACTTGTTCTGTTTTCAACCAGCGTTCCTCACCAAGCTGAGAAAGTTTCGACCCATGAATTCTTGATGCTGCTGTGATGTTAGCTACTAATTTGAGTGTTGTATCAGAATAAACTGTTACAAAAGAGCTGTGTTTTGCAAGTTGTGTAACTTAAGTAATTTTTGCTTTGATTTCTACTGCCTATAAACTCTTAAATCCCCTGTGTGATTTAAGGGGAATGTTTTAACAGAATCATTATAGTACTACCGTGCAACACAAATTTTTCTGCAAATCACAGTATCTGTATCACTCAGTTTTTCATTCTTCATGGCTTGTAAACCAATCCATGGATTTGTCTTGGTTCAAGATGCTACCTCGTCTGCTTTTCCTGGACTGGCTCTGACAGTCTACCAGAAATCAAGAGAAAAAAAGTAAGAAAATAGTGGATCGATATTTTCTCTTTGAAATGAAAGTGAAGCAACATCTGAGTTTACTAAGTACCAAACAATGATTACCAGTTTCTCTAAGAACAATGTTTGCACAACTGTAAGGGAAATTGAAATACACTAAACGTGGTCTTTTGATAAAGCCGTACTCACTTCAAGAAAAAGATCAGTTGATGAAGTACTCAAATAGTTAAAATAGACACAAACAGAGCTATAAATTAACTGTACCTCTATGGTTAATTAACTGTAACCCTAACCAATATTAAACGTGTATACCAAGAACACTGCATTTTATCTGCATAACTGAGGCCTTACACAGGAAATTTACATCTCAAGTGTGTTCCACTCTTAACAGTAAATTAAATAATAGACGTTTAAAGTAACTGCTGTATGTAATAGAGGCTTCTCCTACAAAGGCTCAGGAGACTACTTTGAGTAGTTCAATATGCGAGATTCTATTACATTAAACAATTTTCACAGTAGACTGTTGTATTTTCTACACATACCCCCAACCTTAAAAGGATATCTTCCATAAATTGTCAAAGACTGAGATACACTTAAAAGAGAGTGTGAAGTGCTGATTTAATGTACATACTAACTGACGACTGTAATTGAGGAGCCTGCCCTTTCTAAAAACACAACTTTCGAGAAGAGCACTTACAACTCACGTAACACACACTCCATTCATGTGACAGACACACCAGTATTTTTACTGTTTCTTCTTGCCAAATGCTTTTCAAATAGGATTCCCAGTTTAATTTATAATATGAAAATAGTAACAAATGCCTAAACAGACTAGAACACAAAATTAGCTAGAGTAGTTGAACAGACTCAATGTGTAATGCAGTTGGTACTTCTAGGAGGAAACAAGATGTGAAAGTGTCAATTAAATGTTTGGCTGAAGCAAGATGGTATTTGTGGCACAGAAAAGGAGAACAAGGAATATTTTGCAAACATTAGTTCAGATATGGTAGTAGTTCTGTGGTAGCAGGTGGTTTTCCTGATACCACGATGTCCAAGTATAAAAGTTTACCCAAAATAAAGAAAGAAAATGGTAACTGCATTTTTAGTAGATGCTTCCACAAACACAGAGGTTGGGTCTTGTCACACCAAGAAGCACATAGTAGTCCCTACAGTAGTCTAAACAGCAAATACTGTTTCAGTTACATAAGCTATTTGAAAATTATTTGCAATATTAAACTATACCTTGGGCATAAGAAACAGGAGAGTCAACCAGCATTTTTTCAGCTGGAAAGGTGTCCTTCATATCCTGGGCTGAATGTAATTCAGTCATCTCCAGTGTGCCAGTTGAGGAGGAGGAGGAAGATAATCCTAGTCGCACAAATCTTCCTTTCCTACCGCAAAGCAAACAGTCCACAGGCGTATTACTAGGTCCTCGTGGCAGCTGTTCTTCATCTTTGTTGTAGCTCCTCACAGCTCCACTGTGGTGCACAGAACGTTCTCGCTGCCATACATAATGTGTTGGAGCGATAGCCATTACCTATCAGAATAGCCATTCTATCAGGAACCACAAAAATAACTGGCAAACATAGCTGAAAACAAGGGATCCAATTCACATATGGCAGAGAATTAAGACTAGAGAGTTGAAGTGGATGTCATCTATTATTTATCTGCCTTAGTCTAACTAGAAAGTTTGCTACATTAGGCAACAATAAATGAACCGGTTATGAATCAGATGTTGAAACAAAATTTTTATAGCTTTGTATATTCGTGTAAATCATCACAAATACCAGTTCATGCTTTGTTGGACTGAAGATAGTGTCTTACTATTAAACTAGGTGGATCTTCTGACTCACCACGTCACTAAACTAACAACTGCTGAAAATTGGGAGGGCATGCTGGGATAAGCATTCTACACTTGCCTTGTTCCTTGTATTTTTCCCCACTAACATCTCATCCCATCCGTAGAGATGGGATGCTAGAGTAAATAAGATCTTCTTTTCCACCAGATGTAGTAAACAGTACCTGTCAGGGCTCTTCCAGACAGACACATGCCATCTGGGAAGTGAGGAATGTCTTTTTTTCACACAATATTTTTTGAAAAAAAAAAATGTAGGTTGTAACAGGGCATTAATAGAGAATGTTAAAAACGCAACCTTTCTTTTTTAATGCAATGAAAAACCATTACCCCACAAAGTCAACTGAAGTTATGCTGTTAATTTTGAAGAGGAAAATTTCACCTGAGGTGCCATGTTTTGGAAGGTTTTATTTTGTGTACAGTTTAAAATTTATAAAGCAAAGACACAGATAAAAATATTTCTACAGTGAATGAAGTGAAACAGCTAATGGTGAATTTTAAGTAAAAATATCTGCATAAAGCAGAAAGATCCTTCTCATTAAAAACTACTTTTAACAGCAGCGTAACTTTTTCTAATTTACCTTAAAAGCATAGTTTCAAAGACTATATTTTGAAAGGAGAAGAAAAAAAAATTTTTGGAGGGTAAATGGGCTGTTACATTTTAGCTGCATCTTTTCTTTCTTATGGCTTCTATACACTCTTTAAGGTAAAAACGTTTGTGTAGAGCTATAGTGTTATCTGGTATTAATTGCAGTTTCAGCATCTACAATATTAAAACCCTCCCTACCTCTTCACAGCAACGTCTGCTTACAATAGCCCTGTAGTCAATTCTACTCCATAGTTGATCTCTTAGCTTTAAGAAATCAGGAAAGAGCTTTCTCCATTTTTTTCCCAAAGCCCATGGGAAAATGTCATACTTCGATTCTTCATCGTCTTCTTCCACTGTATTTGCCAGATACCTTTAAACATATGTATGTTTGTGTCTGTAAGTGTTATTCAATCTTGAATCATTCTATCAGTGTGATTTCTAACAGTAAAAGATGTAATATTAAAGTAGTTCTTTTTCTTAATATCATGAGAAAAATTGCTAACAAAACATTTCTCTCTCAATATTACATGTTCTTAACCAGAAAGTCCCACATATATTCTTCAGGTAAACATAAGCTATAATAATAAATACTTTACCCTAGAGCCTCCTAAATTAGTGTGCAAGAACTAGCATATCTTGAGATCATTCACCTGATACTGAATTCCTATAACTCATACCTGAAAAAAGTTCTAGTTCTGGTCTCCTTCCCATTTTTCCTCACTTGATCCTAATCTCAGTCTTCTCTCCAGGCCCACTCTAATGTGACCCTCTGACACTTTCTAATTCTCTGTTATCTTCCGAGGCTCTTTTTTCTCCCTTCAGTGGAGTCAGATAACCTCCTCTTCCACGCTTTATGGATGCTATCTGGAATACCACATATGGTAGAAGGAGCAGCCATCTTTCTCCTTGCACTAGTGTGCAGTCAGAGCAGCTGCCAAGTGCTATTATAGAAAAAGATGACCTGAGCTCTGTAACACTATGAAAGAAAATACTTCATCACTGTAGGTATAGCATATATCCTTATATATGTATATACAGAACTATATAGGCTCAGTAAAGACAGATTTATGATTGCACCTCCATTTCAATGTATAGAAATTTTATAAGGGTTCAAAAAAAAGTTCTCTGAAATTACCTACCTATATTTTTACAGTTGACTCAAATCACCTTGACAGAAACTTAGTTAGTAAAGTTACCCCAGAGTTGTGCATCAGGATGAAACAATTCAGTTAAAAGGACTTAAAAGATGGCTAAGATATTAAATAAGGTCTTATAAGAGAAAGCGTGAGCTTTACATATGTTGCCACATATTGCCCTGAACTTACTTCTCTTAATGGAAAAAAAGTTCACAGATTAACAGTTCTGTAAGCAGAAGTCCATGCTATGTATTACAATACCCATGTGAACATCCCCTCATTGCTACTCAGGTTGGACATCAGGGAAACAACACTGAATTTGCACTAATTATAATGTGTGGATTATGTTTCTTTGCTTCATATAGAACCCCAAACAACTACAAAATGGTTATGAAGTCTCACTGTATATCAGAATCATTAGTGACGTAAACAAAGGAAGAAACTAATGAAAGTTTATGCTAATAAACCAGATGATTTAAGAATACTTACAGAGCAACAAAGAAATTGATTCTGGTATGCTCATTTATTGTGAAGTTAGCCCTCTTGAAATAAACGAAAGTCATCGCCAAAAGATACTGTTTTAAAATGTAAATTACTACATTCATTATTAAGTATTAACATATTATTTCAATATAACATTTCCTAAAATGCTTAGCATGTTTGTCTCACACAAAACTACTTTGTTCATTCTTATCAATGAGGAAAGCATAAACTGAGTTTCTTGAAGTTTCCATATGAATACATTAGAAAAGAAAAATAAATGGTCTGTATTCTCATTATAGAATTAAGTGATTAGCAGTCAATTTTCACTGAATAGTTAGTTCTATTATTAGTTCTGTTAACGAAGAACACTTACCTTGTCTGTAATTTTACAACAACAGTCCATCCATAGGAAGTCTTGAATCACATCATCATCTGCAACAAAATAGTCATAGCATTTCAAACAATAACATTGTTTTCCTTAGGAAGTCTATGTAAACAAATAACATAAGTTCCTTTAACAAACCAAACAAAAAAAAGCTGGACCCACCAGTAGAGAACAGAGAAACTGATGGGGAAATGGATTAGGTATGAAAAAATAGAAGCCAACCACGGGAAAGGTAAGGTGACTGACAGTATCTCACTCCATGACACCAAGTGAAGGTGAAAAAATTACCAGTATTTTTTCTACTCATGTAACCTTTTCCTGCATAAAAGGTTCCCTCGAGTAATGTACAGTTATTTCTGATGAACCAGAGACTGTTGAGATCTCTGCACCTTGATTACCTGACAGCTTTTACAAGGCAATACTTGCTTGATTACTTGTGGTCAGTATACGTCTCTGGGAACTTGTACTTTAATGTTCAGGTTTAAATAAATAAATAAATAAAAAGTAATCTACTATGTCTCAATCTCTTCTAAATAAATACAAAACTTTATATGAAAGAGATACAAATGCAACAGAGAGGCAGCAGTTCCTCAGATATTCTTCTCATTCAGTTTCTCTCTCTAAATTCTTATTCTTATAATAAATAATATGTATACAGAACTGAGAGACCAGCCTCTTTTAAGCCTTGTGTAAAAGAAGATATATGTTGTTTTGCATGTATTTCTTGAAAGCTATGAGAAAATAGTAAGGTATGGGAAATTATTGTTGAAGGAGGTACCACACCATCTTGTTTTTGTTTTTCATTTTAAAGGATGGTTTTCATCACTTCAGTAGCCTTTTTTTGTATTTTTAACTTAAGCATTAAGTGTTTATACACTAGAATAAAATAACAAAATATGTTTAGACAAAGACATTAGCAACTATTTATAAAAAGCACTCTCAAAATTATCATTGAGTTTAGAAAACATACTTACTTATGGTTTTCTACTGTTCAATCAAAACACTGATATCTATCATTATTAACCTACCAAACAACTTAAAGAAAGCTGTCATTTCCTGACGCTGAATAACTAGGCATGGTCCCTTTGGATGTATATATTTATGACTAAGAAACCTTTTTTCACAATTTTCTTGATGGTCTTTAAAAGCAGGCCGCTTCAACCTAACAAGTTTTTTTTGCTGATGCGATCTGGATGCACTCGATTTTACATGAACAGTGACAGTGGGAGGTGTCTGACACACCAGATTGTGTCTCATTTTGGTAAGTAAAAAGTTCCTGTTAAAAAAGAATAAGAAGTTAGCTACAAAAAATAGTCAATTTTAGCAGTACGTCTCTATAATTGTTTTGTTCAAATGAAGCGTTTTCAGCAGAGCTTCATCTGTCAGGTGATATAAAAATTTATTTTATCAGTACGCAGTGAATTAGGCAGTTTAATTTGGTTCTGATTTGATAAAGCTCTTTTTCAGTGGAAGCAGACTTAATCATTCATTTTTCATTCAAGATTTGAAAACACATCTCCTTTCCAGAAGAAGTTGTAATTTGTCAGAGCCTCATGCGTTTATCCAGGTCTACCAAGGAATCTCCATGTCTCCGCTCCTATCTATGAAGGGGTATTTTTAAAGGAATGTTAATTGAATCAATGTAACATTGCCATAATTAAACCATATAATATGAAAAATAAAATCTTGAAATGCCGAATTATTTTTATAACCTTCGGTTATAGCCACTGGGAACAAAATTTAAATTAAGTAGGAGATAATGCAAAGGCATAATCAAGGAAACAAACCTATGGTTTCTTTAAAAAATCAAGAGGACACCAAATGGCGCATGAGGAAAGCTACGCTTTATACACGAGAAAACAACTTTAATTCTTCAGTAGGTCCCTACTGAGACAGCCTCCCCAGCTCTCCAGCTCTTACTTAGTTATGACACAGAGGGAGGGGGAAACAATAATAATAATACATAAATAAATCTCACATTGGGTATGTAATTACCCAGTTTTGGTCCCCAGCAGGTGAATCCGGAGGAGGCCCCGCCTCACACGGGCCGCCCCCCTCCCTCCCCTCCTCTCCTCTCCTCTCCTCTCCTCTCTCCTCAGCGCCGCGCCCTTGGCAGCCGCTGGGAGCGCGGGACGCTGCCGCCTCCGGCCCTACCTCTGCCGCCTGGGGGCGCTGGGCTGCAGCGCCGCGGCGGAGCCCGCCCGGCCGCGCCAGCCAATCAGGCGGGGGCGCGGCTGTTGCTAGGGAGGGAGGGGTAAAAGCAGGGACGGGGCGCACCGGGCCTGGCTCCTTCACGGGGAGGCCCCGCGGGTGGTGTGGTGGCTGGAGGCCCTTTGGGGCACGGAGCACGACATGGTGGAGCTCTCCGTCCCTGGGGAAGCAGGGATGGTCAGAACCTGGTCATCTAGAAGGCCTTTTCTAACACAGATGTTTCTATGCGTGCTCAGTCAGATTGAGTCACCCTGCATTAAATTGTCCTTCATGTAAAAACAAACAAAAATTCTCTACCTTTTACACGTACATACTCCTGTTTGTGCACAATGCTGTTCATCTAAGGCACTCCAAGCACTCACTTACCAATTATTTGATAACTGTGGAAAGCAAAGGAAGGATAAGTTACAGAAAAATCTATTTAACCACACAAACCATCGAAACTAGGATGATAATTTTTGTCAGTTTTTGAAGTCTGCAAAACATAAAGCTGCAGTTAAAGTGTGTGCATTCTTAATCCTCACACCTTCGGATTTGCATTCCTCACAGCATCAGTAAAAAGGAGGTTACAAAGTAGATCTTTATCTATACAGCTTCCCAGTGTTTGTATGTTTTTTCCCTACAGCTCTCCTTTCTAAAATAGTTTGGCTGTTTGTTTTTTTTGTTTGTTTGTTTTGTTTTTTGAGCTCTTGGTTCTGCAACAAAATATCACAAGATCTTTTATTTTCTTTCCACCCTCAAAGATCTGTTACAATCAAGTTCAAATTACTCAAGAGGTATTGTGATCCACTCTCTGTAAACCTTTTCGTACTGTTCCTCACCTCCCAGGACCCAAGGTTCAGTTGCAATACATGCTCGCTGTGCTCAGACTAGCTTGATTCAGACTGAGGAAACTGAAGTTGTGAGAAAAAGCAGTGAGAAAATTTGCAATTTTAAGCTTCTCTCCTTGCAAAACTTTAGAGATTAAGGTAGGATTGCTGAGATGGGGATTACTCAAGCACTCAACTTGAAACATCATGGAGAAACATCAACATGGAAAGGCATAAAGCCCAAGAGGAAAAATCAGAGAGTCTGAAACTGACAGCTCAGACCAGCAAATTTGTTCCAGGGAGTCACAAAGGCTCACAAAACCCTCCTGGATGCTAGCCTGGCTAGCGACCTCTTTGGAGGTGATGAGCTTAATGTAGTGGTTAAACTCTGCATATCTTTTAGGTACATTTACTAATAAACAATTGTTTTGTATTCCTGAGTTGTGTATTTTACATTCAGGTCTCTACTGGGTATATGGTAAGAAGTTCTTGAACAGAGTAATAAGACGGAAACAGAACTTGACCGGACTGTAAATACTCTGCATGATGTAGATGACCTAACTGGTTCTCAGCCTTTATTACTAATGTATTAACTACAGGTTTTACATATGTATCATTAACTACAGTTTTTGGAAGTTTGTTGAACAATTAATTCATCCAAGCATATCCGGGAGAATGTTTTTTGTTCTCTGATTTCCGAGTAACTCAGTGAACATCAGAGGGCACTATTTCACCACAAGCAATTTAAACTGAGACACTATAGCATTGTCCTGCCTTCTACACTGAACTTATATTGTACTTAACTCAGAGCCCTTCGCATAGGATGACATTAGATCGTTTGAGTTACTCTTTATCTTTATATGCTATTACAGTTTGAAGTGTTTTATTTATATATATATATATATTTTTTATATATATATATATATATATATATATATATATATATATATATATAATTAAAACCTTTTGGAATTCTTTCAAAATCTTGTTTTTGCAGAAAGAAAAAAAGATTTTTGCAAATACTCTGGAACTGAATTATGAGAGATATATAGTTGCATAATTACCTAGTAGCTAGTTCGAAAAAGGCAAATAGAAAGCAGTTTACTTCTCTTAAATTAAAAAAAATATATATATTTTCAGTAAACCAGTTGTGAGACACATGGATTAAGAAATATCACTGAAGTAATACTTGTAAGGTAGGAAAACAAATGCCTTTGATATGTGGTATCCTTCCTAGTGGACTATCTAGTGGATGATCTTAGAGGTTTTTTCCACCCTAAATGATTCTGTGATTATAATGAGGTTTTTGTTGTTGTTGTACCACTGGAAGAACTCCTGATACATCTTTTCAAAGGAAGTCATGAAAAATAAACATTGGTTTGTCTAAATATAGATCGTTGTTCAAATATAATGTGTATTTGTCCAATTATAGACTTTTTCTACTTATGCTGAATGTAAAATAAGAGGAAACAAAATAATAGCTCTCTTCCCTGTATAGAGAACTCCTGCCCTTGTCAGGGGGAACCTCATCTCTCAGTCAAACATGTTCTAGATGAAACACACACAGGATGAGAACTCTATTCCTACAGACACTTAAATAAACTCAAGCATTCATCTAAAAATTAAAGGCTGGACATGCTATAACTCTGTTAGAATATAGGGTGCAATAAAGCAAACAAGTTTCAGAATATTTCAAAGAAAGAGGTAAATTACATGAATCCACATCTATCACCAGTAATCTGCTTCTTTTATTTGGAAAGGGAGAGTAAGAATTTAGATGAGTTGTGTGAAACAAATCATTACAGCATTGTGGTGCCTGAGCTAGAGCTACACTTAACACCCTGAATATGACTTACCTCTTTGGTACACAAACCTGTAACTAATGACACTAGAAAGGATTCTTATAGCTAAATCTTCGCTGTCAACAAATGCAACAGTAGGATTAAAACTAAAAATGATCTAGTGCATCTTAAATATATGTCAATGATGGATGGATGGACGGACAGACGTGGAGATTGTCATCTGCTTTGTTTGCTTAAAAACTTCTAAGCAAACAGTAGGATTTTCTAATACATAAATCCAAAACTACCTCTGGCTTCTCCCAGGTGCTGAGAAAGTCAGAAACTATTAAAAAAAAAAAAAAAAGGAAATACTGCAGTGAACAAGAAACAACAGATGACAGAAGAATGTCAAGGCTGCCAGCGAACACAGTGCATGTCTAAACATGCTGCTTCTGCATACTGCAAATCAGCCAAATGCTCTGCAGCGGCAAATCTACATAAAGTACTGGGGACATACATTTAAACTTTGTTCATTTCTACTGTAGACGGATATATTCTGTATGAACTTAACTGACTCAAAGCAGAAAGTGGAAGCGTTTACATTTTTTTTTTTTTTTTTTAAGGATTGGCAGTTCTGTTCTGGTTGTAAGTGAAACCAAATAGTCGTACCTGAAGAGATGAGACTATGTGAGACTATGTTAGGTCTTCACTATCATGTGTCTCTCAACATCATTGACTATGAACTCTTTACTGTATATTTTATATCAAGGGGAAAAGACATGAAGTGTACAGTACCCCTTAAATAATTTTTTTGAACCTTCTGATGCCACCCACAACATTTTAGCTTTTAAAAGTAAATGGAGGTTGCATCCTGCACATTAGTGAGCATTTAATAAGCATGGATATTCATTATCCTGTTGTGCCCATGAAGTTTCTTCATACTGTATTGTGCAAAGAGCACTAATAAAACAGACTCCTGTACCACCATGACCCAGAGCCATTTCTTTCAGATGCAAAGAGCAGCAGGCTGCCTCAGACACATGTGCAGGAGTGTCAGCAGGAGTGTGCACAGGGAGCCTGCAGTGTACTGTGTGTGTGCAGTGACTGAATTGCCTGCATTTCCATTGAAAAATGTGAGCTCTTCAGTGTGCAAGTTTTCACTTCTCTCCTCTCAGAAACTAGCAAACACTAGACTTTACAAATCTTAGCAATGAAAATATAGCTGGACCAATAAAATTGTAAGACCTTTTACTTTAATCAAACAAATGTTTTTATAAAATCACAATACTCCTTTCACATCTAGTGAACAGCAGCATACATTCGTAGTCCCATTGATATTAATGCATATGCAAACATTAGTACACAAAATCATTGAAGATCTAAGCAACTAATTATCCAGAAAATATATCTTTCTACCTAAGGAGATAAAAAGTAGAAAAACTTCGGTGCTTTCAAAATAATGTCCTTTTTTTCTGAAGGTAAGTTCATCATTTCTTAAATTCATAGCTGTTTGAGTGGATGAAGAATAGGTGGGAGCCTTCAAACTCTAGCTAGCCAGTTTTTAATTCTATAATTGGACAAAGTCTGTAAATTACATCGTCTTTCTGACCTTGTTTTCCAATTCCAAAGTTTAGATTTACCTCTTAGTTTACTGGTCGCATAACTCAGATCACAAACTCTTCTGAACACAGGGTATCTATTCTGGTTTTACACCGTGGAACACAATTGAATCTTTTTCCATGACCATAGCCTCTATAACATGAAATTATATTAGTAATTAAGATGTTGTAATTTCTCTATTGTCAAGCCTTATTTTGACAGCAGGGCATTCACAGACCCATCCCATTAAAGGATTAATCAACAATAACGTAGCTATAATTTCTGAAATAAGGGAAAATTATTTTTATATGCAAATATTTTGACTCCTATTCCCCCATGTTGTTAAGAAAGGAAAAGCCTCAAGTTCAGTAGGAGGAAGGCAAAACTTTATAGACTAAAACCAGGTTAATTAAATTGTAGGCTGAAGAGTCTGGATGGTTTTTTTTCACCCCAATCCAATGGTTCAGGCTTCAAACGGTTAAATTAGAACTGCCACAGTTTGTTAAACATTGATTGGCCCTCCCTAGAAGCAATGGGTTCTATAATTACTCTACAGCAGGTCAAAAAGCTTTCCTGTTTCTCTGAGATCAGTAATCGCAAATTGTAAAAGTTTTCTCACCCAGAGGTTGAAGCAATAAAATGACTAGTACAAGGGCTGTAAATTAAAGTGCAAACTGAAACAGATGAACTTTGGTAATAGCTAGCTAACTGGAAAAAAAAAATAAAGATAAACGCATGAAATAGGAAAGTAGTTACAACACAAAAGCAATGTATTTCAGTAAGAAAAAAAAAAAAAAAAAAAACACAGATTGTCAGCTATGGAACACCTTGCTCCTTTTAACCCTACTCTTTGGTGCCCATTGTGTTATGCTAAATGGTGTTTGTGGGCTTAGCTGCTTCTGCTCAGCTCTTCCGTGTATTTATTCAACTTTGCCTTGGGTATGACTACAAATACAAGCTGCAATGAGGTAAGACTGGGTGGGGATTTATAGCATGTGAGCTGCTCCACAGAAACTACCTCTGTGAATGCTGTGGCCCTGTCTTTGTGTTTTGTTTCGTTTTTGTTTTTTTTTTAAGGAATAAATGTCTTTTTTTTACTGCCATGTACAACACTGTCCATAGCCTGTTACTGTGGATTAGCTGATATATGGTCAATCTACACCCAAGCTTGCCTTGTAGTGACCTGTACACATAGACAAGTCTGACATAAGGAAATTTAATGGCAGACACATCCAAGTACTTAACGTACCTTCCAATACCATCATACTGAGAAACTGGACAGCTATCTGTCCATACAGCCATCTGTTTTGGTTCTTAGAACAGCAATGAGATGTTGTCACACAATAAAACATGTTAAAATCCATTTAGGACTCTCAAACAGTTTTTAATAAATTTAACTTTTGACAAAGTTCCATCTGTAATGGCTAAAAGGGGAAAAAAAATCTTATATTCCAGAACTGAAAGAATTTTAGTTTAAATGGAGCTCCTCTGACTTCAGCTTGTGATGTCATGTTCTCTGCTAAACCCTTTCCAAACTATACGAAAGCAGTGAGTATACTAAGGGACTGGGCACAGTATGAGATTATTCTGCTACAAAGTAGGCTGGATGAACTTACTCATTTTTTTACCTCTAATGCTACACATTTTAAACAGCTTTGAACACTGACAATAGCTGCTGTGAAAATGCTGTAGGTATAAGAGCCATGAAGACATATTTCCATGGCAGTAAAGAGAGGGATGATGACGAGCCTGTTAGTGACCCCACCCACTGGGGTTAAGACTAAGCCCTAGCAGAAAGGTGAGGATGCCATGATGTATCAAACAGGTTGGTTTCTATAATCCTGAAAGATACTAATAGAACACACATTAATTGCATGAGCATCTCTCTCCAGTGGCTACACCCTGTCTACTTTTACAAACCTCTGAACCAACAGTTGTATGCCTCAGGTACTCTTACTTTCAGCCCAAGCTTGATGGAGAACCAAGGTGCAGCCATCTAAAGCTGAGGACAGGTTTATGACTGTTGCCACTGCCTCTGCACTGATTTTCATCTCCAGTCTGCATGAAAATTTCAGCAAAATAAACAGTTACATTTATAAACTGTGTTACTACTCAAAGAAAAAAATGTCATGATCTATAAACAGGCCAAGAATACACAAAACATAAGCTATCTTTTTACAGTGTTCAGAAGCAGTTATGACAGTCTTGCAGAAAAGACACGACTGCTCATTTATTTTTTTACTGGGTCTTTATTTGACCAGATACACGTGGCCAAAACATTTAAGCTCTGTGTTACTCTCAATGTTCTCATTATTCATAAAAAGATAATAGTACTTACCTGCTATGTAGTGTTTTTCAGTCCTGCAGGAAATAAAAATGGCAATGTTATTACAATTCTTTGAGCAGCAGCATACACTGGTTTGTGAAGGTCTGGAATCATCAGAGACACATCATGGACAAGATATTATATATTATTTCTCAGTATTGTCCTCTTTCTATGATACTTTCAAGTGGCCTTCTTATGGTCCATCCTATGTAGAGAGTATAGTCTGCAAACAAAACAAAAAAAAAAAACACCCTGATTGAACACATTCTAAAAGTGTCCTAATAAAAATTTCCTTAGTTTATACCTTAGTTTATATATAACATATAATTGCCTGTAACTTAGACAATGTATATAACAATGTATACCATAAAAATAAATAAATAAATAAACCTGTTTTCATTTTTGAGCATAAGACTGTTTCTGCTTGTTTCTAACTTCATCGGCCTTAACCAGTTGAAAGTTATCGTGAATTTTCAAAAAGCATTAATTTTGTGGGAAAACACTAGTAGCACTGTTTTGCACTTTGGCATAATACTTGGCCTATTTTTAGGGACATCTTCAGAAGAGCACAGCCCAAACCAACCATGTTTGGAGCCTCCGAAAAATCTCAGTTAGAGCTGGATTGCCAAATACTCCAATGAAACCGATCATCTTCTCCCTACTCATCTCTCCGATCTGCAGACCACAATACATGTCACAGCCCCACCTTGCATCATTTCCTGATAGTTCAGGAGTGACTCATAGATTCTTGCAACTTTCCCTGAAAGCAGATTTTATCCCTTTTCTGTGCCTGTGGAGTGTCACAAGACCACTCACCCAAGTTCTAGGGAACACCTGCAAATTACGTTGTAAAGACCCAGGCCAGATCCCATTATCACACTAATTCTTACTGGCTTCTGAAAGAGCTGAATTTATCTCCTTGGACCTGATCCACAGTTCACTGAGTCAACAGAAAGTCTCCCACCGGCATCCACAGTTCTTCAAGTAATACTTAAGTGAACTGAACTAGCTTTATTCTCCAAACAGATCTGGAGCAGATATGAACTGGAGAGCAAAAGCTGAACAACACAGATCACCCAAGTTTCTCAAATATGAGTTTACATATCCCCTAAAGCCTAGTGATCAAAACAATTTTATACATATATAAGAACCAGAAATGTGTTTGTAGCATTTAAATTATAATTGGTCTGAGCTGTAATTATGCTTTCATAAGTGTAAACCACATCTATCCTACACTGCACTGCCTAATTGGCATTCAGCTATTTGCTAAGAGGAGATATGTCCAACAGCTGATAAAACTCTGCTGTTTGTAACCAGTAAGCAAGATCTTACCTTGAGAGCATTACACTGGGAAAAGTCACTTTAGAAACACCACTGAACAAAGTCATGCATTTCACCCCAAAAAAAAGCCTTTTATATCACTACAAAAGGTTCAAAAATGGTACTCCTCTCTAAGCCCCAGACACTGAGTTGTCTCTGTAATTAAGCTATTTCAATACCTGGATTGTTTTATCTCTCTAACCATATGCCTGCTCCACTGGCTTATGGTTAAGAGAAGCTTCCCTCAAAATAACCTGGAAAGACGGTAAAATTAATGCAATTGAGAATGGTTTTTCACTCCCATTGCTTTGCTGGGGAATGACATTGTGAAGAGCAACTCTCGCAATTTCCAAAATAATAAGCAACATCCATATGTATAAACAAGAATTTATTTCGATTTGGAAAACTGGAGAAATTAAAGATAATGAGACCTGCATCAGTTCCCGCAAATTGGAGCCAAATCAAATGCAACATGGTGCACCTATCTTTCCATTAGCTATGGTTTGGCTTTCTAATGCTGATAGTTCAGGGAACACTTAATGTGTCACACTACAAGGCCAAAGCACACTGCGATGGGCTTCTTCAGACCACACAAATATCCAGGTTGAAGTCCATTCAACCTTTAGACACTGTTTTTTGTACACTGACAACAAAGACATGTCCAGTATTTGGAGGTGGTGGAAAAAGCAGCTTTACTTTCAGTAGTAGCCACTATGAGGTTTCAAGACTGCAGACTAAGGCTTGGTTTATTAATACTAGGCACAGAGGTTTACCTATTCCAAACAAGGGCCAGGGGAACAAGAAGGATTAGCATGTGTTCACTCTGTCCTGTTTCTATAAAGTTACAATATTAAAACAAAACAAAAGGCAAAAGCCTATCATGAAGTGTACTGTTCCCTGTTTTTAAAGTCGATGTAGTTCAGCTTGGCAATTTGACATGACAGGGTAACTCCTCATCTTGAAAAAAAACAATACATTTACACACAAAAAGAGATTTACCATAAGACAGGCATTTCTGAGCCTATTGATCCTGCTCATCTTTCTGCAGAATGCCATCATCTGACAGCAACAATGTGAAAAGTCCATGTGAGAGACTTTAAAAGTCTTTCCAAGTTTTCACTTTGCTAAAACGATGCTGTTAATTTGAGTCATTGAAAACTGTACCAGAAGAGTATTAATAAGCCACTCAAAACTGCAAGAAGAATTAAAAAAAATAATAAAATAAAAATGGAGAAGTCTCATTCAGACCGTACTAGGAGCAGACTTAGAGAACAGTCATTTAACTCAGACCCATCAGAGAGAGCTCCTCGATTTCAGCGGGCCGTTGTGGACTACAGTAAATATGAAAACGGAGATGCAACACAGACTCAGCTCAGATAGAGACAAAATGGCACAGACCGCTAACCTGTGCTTACTTTCAGAACATGCAAAGGTTTTAAACCGTTTCATTAACTGAGATTTGCATGTAAAAGGAGTGGCAATGCGTTTGTATTGTACAGTGAATATCAACACTGGTAAGAGGAAGTTTCAACTGTCCTTGAAAATTCCGATTTCTCATAAATGCAAGTTGTCATTGTTTTTCTCCTTTCCTAAAATAACTTAGTTTTCAGGACACTGGTATATCTTTCAGAAAGATTTTTTTAAGCTGAATTAATACATTCAGAAAAGATTCAGAAAAAGGTGTACCACACCTTATTTTTGTTTTACATTTTGGCATCCCTTTTCCACTTCGGAGAGTAATTCTAAAACCAGCAGCAAGCTTCCCTACCTTTCGTCTTCTATAACATTGCCAGGGCTTTTGCATTACCTACAGTTTCACAGGTTCCTGGTAAACTGCACTGCTCAGGGACATGGTACCGAAGACATTGATTTCTCAACGAGGAAAGTGCAGACAGTCCCGTACCAGAGAGATTCGCTTCAGAGCAGTCCTAAAGGGGAGTAACCAAGCATATACAGTAGTGTTTTAGGGGGGGAAATAGGAGAACGATCCTTGAGAAAGTGTGCTCTGCATAGACAGGTGCCTGTTTTTTTGCTAAGCTAACTCCGGGATTATCGGGATTTCTGTTAAAGGCTCATAGAAAAAGAGTTCAGCCGGCACCACCGAGCAGAATTAATCATTAAACATCGCTATCTACCGCTGCTCCTCGGCCCGGCGGAGGTGGGCTGCGGGAGCAGGGGGTGGCAGCGCGACCCCCCGGGGGGGCACGAAACACCTCAGGGAGGGAACCAAAGGGGCGAGGCAGGGCCGGGGAGTCCCGGACACACTCAGACAGACACAAACGCCTTCCCGGGACTTCTCCCGGTGACTAACAGTTTCTCCTCGTCGTCGGGGGCGGCTGCCTACTGCCACCACCCCCTCCTCCCCCCGCCGGCTCGGGGCAGCGCGGTTTCGTCCCCTCTCCCTCCCTCTGGGCCGCACCTCGGGGCGCTCCCCTCGGCCGCCCCGGAAGGGGCTATATTTGGGCCGGGGCAGGGAAAGGGAGGGCGCTTAGCTCGGGCTCGCCCTGCTCCATCCAGTTTCGCCCAGGTGCGGGGGGGAGGGGGCGGTTTAACAACGCCCGGCTGCCCGGGGAGGAGGTGCCGCTGCCGCCCTCTGCGCCTCGCAGGTGTAACCGGAGCCAGGAGGGCGCGGCGCGGCCATCCCCTGCCGAACCTGTCGGGCGGCTCACATCGCTCCCCGCCGCGCAAGCAGCGCTCTCTCTCCCTCTTTCTCCCTAAACCCGCTCCTCCGAGGCTTTCTCCCCGGCCTCTCCGCGCCCCACCGCCGGCCGAAGCCATGGAGCCGCTCCGCGGGGCTGCGCTCCTGCTGCTGCTCTGCGCCGCTGCCAGCGCCCAGAACGGTGAGTGCCTGTCCCGCGCCCCTCGTCTCGCCCCACGCCTTCCCCGCTAACCCCAAACGGGGCCCTCGACCCCACTGAGGGCCACCCCGCTCGTTCCCCGCGGAGCCGCCCCCACGAACCGGGGCGGTGGGCGCCCCGCTCCGCCCGGCCCCTGGCAGCGCCACAAAATGGCGCCCCCGCTGAGGCAGGGGCTGCCCGCGGGCGGGAGGGTGCCCGGGCTGTCGTGTCCCTCTCCCCCGACGGCTCTCCCCACGGTTTGGGGTGCCCAGCAGCAAAAAAGGGCCGGAGCCGGTCCTGGGGCTTCGAGGGGAAAGTTCTCGCCCAACGCTGGAGCCGCGGGGTGGCTGCGGGTGAGGGGCGGCTGTGGCTCCCCTCCTCGCCCGCGGGGTCAGCCTCCGCCCGGCCTCGCCTTCGGGAGCATCCGCGCTCATGGCTGTGTGTCTCTTCCAGAGTGTGTTTGCGAGAATAACAAGCGTGTCACCGACTGCAAGTTGTCTAACGGCGTCTGCCAGTGCAGCTCCATCGGCTCCGGTATCACCGTCAACTGTAATACTCGTGAGTACAGCCCGCTTGTCCTCTGTGGGTTTTAACCTAGGAGCTCTCGCTACTATGAGGATCCTAAATAAAAGTGCCAGGTACCGTGTAAGAGGGGGTATGTGACCGTGCGCAATGAGCTCCTGGCAAGTAACGACGGCAAGGGAAGGGAAGAAAGATTCTTCCTGGTCTTCTAGGTCAACTGGCAATGAACAATGAGCGCGTCTGATTCCTGCTGCGTGACTCCAGTTCCCTGATCTCTTTCACTATCTGATCCTTGCCTAACGAAAAGGGTTTCTCAAACGTTAATTTTTTGCTTCCTTCTAAGCACATATCGTGACTTTTCCTATGAATTTAGGGGTGAAAGAGCCTTTTCTAAAAGCCTTACTTCTTGGTTTGAGGTAGCCTGTAAATCTTTATCTGGGTGGAAGAAACCGAAACTGCCTAGACTTCTGCATTTGGCTTCAGAAGCTGATATACTCCAAACCATATTGGCTTTATTTATTACCTATACCTTTGGTATCTGATCTTTTTCCTTGAAATGGCTTCAAATGCAGTTGCTTCTGAAGTAACCATGTGGTTTTATGGAGTTTTGTTTTTGTGTGTGCATGGTCTGAAATTGTAAAATGTGACTTTCTGGTTATTTTTAGTGACATCAAAATGCTTGTTGATGAAAGCAGAAGTAAAAAGCACAAAATCAGGTCGTCGTGAAAAGCCAAAAGATGCGTTTGAAGATACTGATGGTCTTTATGATCCTGAGTGTGAAAACAATGGTGTCTTCAAGGCAAAGCAGTGCAATGGAACCACCTGTTGGTGTGTGAATACAGCTGGTGTTAGAAGAACTGACAAACATGACACAGACTTGAAGTGCAATCAATTAGTCAGAACAACGTAAGTCTTTTTAGCAGGGCGTGCTGTGACCTAAAAGCATTCCTGTATTAGGTTCTGCCTTACAGAGGATTTATCTGTGTGAGTGATACACTGGGACTGAATGAACATGGAGCAATAAGTACTTGTTTACTGCCTTTTTCCTTTGGAAACAATGAGATTTATGGGGAGAGGGGAGGAGATATATATATATATTTTTTTTTTCCTCCTCTCACTACTTCATTCACCTCCACCCCCCACATGGGATTAGATTCTTGGTGTACGTTGTTCATATGCATGTGTTTTTAAGAATATTCATTACTTCAGGTGGATCATCGTTAAAATAAAACATGCTGAAAGAGAAACTCCTCTGAACACTGAGTCTCTGAAGAAGTAAGTGACCTACTGTACTTCTAAACAACCAAGTGTTTAAAAGCATTGTCAAATGTGTGAACTAATTTATTTGTAAGACTTGTAAGTGACCTATAGGTCCTTCATAAAGCTTGCTTTAATTTTATTGGAAATTAACGGTTTAAATGGAAACCAATCACCATCATTTTTAAGTGGAAATGTACCTTTTAATCAAGTCAAGATAGTAAAGAAGATAATCAGGTGAAACTGCTCAAAAATGAAACTGATGGAGAGATAGAGGAGGGACTTCATAAAAGAAGTAGGAGACAAAACATCAGGCTAGCTATATTTCTTGGCTTAAATAAAATTCTTCTTGTCAAAGGTCATATAGCAAGAAAAATGTGCTTGTAGCTGTGAGGGTTTTTTTGCTTATTGCTAGAACAGAAGCTTCTGCTGTATTTGTGAACTCTCAAAACTATTTAAAGTCTTTTGATCTTCACCAGTGCAGTAATTGTTTGTTTTGCAGTAAGTGCAACTTCACTGTTGGGAATTAACAGAGCTCTGGTACCTCTTAATGAGTATGCTGGGCCTGGCTGGGGTGGAGTTAATTTTCTTTGTATCAGCCAATATAATGCAGTGTTAGTCTGGTCACCAAAACAGTGCTGATAAGAATCAGTTAGTTATAGTGTAAAGGTCTTGTCTGTCTCTCCCTCTGCTGCCTCAGTGAGTAGGTTAGGGATGGGCAGGAGGTTGGGAGGGGAAACATCCAAGACAGCTGACCTGAATTGACCAACGAGCTATCCCAGATCATATAACATCATGCTCAGCAATAAATAAGGTTTGGAGAGGGTGGTTCCAAAGTAGCTATTGCTTGGAGACTGGCTTGCATAGGTGTCAGCTAGGGTCAATCCCCCACAAACAGACTTGGGGGTGGAGGTAGTGGGGGGTGTAAATTGTACTAGTTATCTAAAAAGTGATGTGTAAAAAATACTACTGCTTTTAACAGTTGCGGTTGTAATATCCTTGTAGATTCTTCAAAGAAACAATTCCCAACCGTTATAAGCTGAATGGGCGCTATGTAGCTGATGTTACGGTAAGAAGCACGTTTTATTTTGTGACTAATTCACTAAAAACTTTCAGTGACTTTGAAGTTTTGTTGCATAAAGTACGGATCTTAATGGAGGCTTGCAAAATAGCTTAACTTATTGAACACAAGCAAATAACTATCTGAATTGAAAAATTGCATGTCTGTCTTCCTAGTTCATGTATGAATTCACTTTGCTTTATCAAAAATGTGAAATTTGAATTGTTCTATAAAAACTTTGCTTTAGAAGTACCATAAACTTGATTGAGAATGTCACCTCAAGTCAGATTGTATTTTGCTGCGTGTTTAGTAGTTGGGTCTAAATTAACCCCTTTAATTCCATACTGTCTTCTTTCCCAGTATGAGAACCCTTACATTTTTATTGATCTGAAGCAAAATTCCTCAGACAAATCTGCTGGAGAAGTGGATATAGCTGATGTGGCCTACTACGTTGAAAAAGATGTAAGTGTCATGGGTGGAGTCTTCCAAAGACTAAATATGTATGGCAGTGCGTTTGATGGTCATAGAATACTCTGGCAAAAGCAAGATAAACTATTGTAATGCATAGAAGAATGCCTATTACAAGGTGAACTAGTAAGTCTCTTTTGTTTTCTGTCTTTAGGTAAAAGGTGATTCCATCTTCCTTAACAACAGACTGAATGTCAGCATTGATAATGAAGTGGTACAGCTTGAGAAAGCAGTAGCGGTCTACTATGTTGATGAAATAGCACCAGAGTTTTCCATGAAGTCTCTGACTCCTGGCCTCATTGCTGTCATTGTAATAGTGATAATAGCAATAGTTGCTGGAATTGTTGTTCTGGTAAGTTCTAACAAAGTTGCCAGGCAGGGTGGGTATCAGTGTAATTTGGGGAATAATACACCAAGGTAGTTGGACTCTAATAGAAAGTCTTCCTCTGTAAACTAGCTGTTTGGGAGTAGAGAGGAATTCATGGATGGACTGTCACTGATTTGGGTTGTGACAGAAGGGTGTCACATGGAAAATGAAGTATTAGGAAAACACATTAAGGTGGAGGAAGTACCTGTCTTGCCTCCTGGTTTAAGGTAGTCAAGAGTGGCAGACAGCCTGTTAAATCTGGAAGGATGGGGAATGGACAGTTCCAAGATCAGAGTGCCAACCAGATAAAGTGAAATGTAAATCAAGACTTAAATAAAACTTAACAATTAATCTGTCCTTCCTTTACTCTTTCTTTCCTTACAGGTTCTCACAAGAAGGAAGAAAGGGAAGTACGTGAAAGCAGAGGTAATTTTTTTTTTTTTTTTGATGATGATATATGGGGGAACTTGGGGGAGGTTGGTTAGAACCTAAACTTAGAAGTTTCTGCTGGAGTTTAATAGCTTGCTTTGGGTGCTTCAGATATGTTGGAGTGTGGTGGGGGGGGGTTGAAATTTTGTAACCAGTTTAGATCTCTGTATAGTTCACCATGTTGGCTCTACATGTTAGTTTCAAAGGCAACTGGCAATCTGATGTCTTTCCCAGGATTTGGGAGGGGGGAGGTGCTGGAGGCAAGTACTGTTTTTACATTTCTATAGCCAGGGCTGTGCAATCCACAGGAAGCACTGATAGTCTTGTTTTATTATGGAGATGTGGAGATCTTCAGGGGTCTTCAACTTCTTCAACTGCAAGGGCCTTGCAGTTCCTATTGATGTGCTACTTCACAATGGAATTGTGCTAAGGTGTATGGTGTTTCAGCCCCAGGTACAGAGTATTCGTAGAGGAATCCAAATTTTGTAGCTGACAATTGACAAGTTAACCAGCTGACAATTACCTCTTGCTGATGAAAATCTGGAGTAAACTTATTGATTTCTGGGTTCTCCTGTTAAGTAGCACAAATGTTGATGTTCCTCAACCTATTTCCTCCTCTCCCAGGTGAAGGAAATGAACGAAATGCATAGAGGACTGAACGCATAACTAAATCAGATGAATACCAAGTAAGATTCAACCAAGAAGAAAACAGTGGAGGCATGGATCTTAAGAGTTAATATTCCTTGTATGGGAAGGCAATTGTGCTTGCTTAATGATTGTTAAAACAAAGCCTAGACTGACAACCATGCTACTACTTTTACTATTTGTTGAGAGTTAAATCTTAAACATCCAATTTTATTCAAGTCAAAGTTAACTACTACCCCCTGATTTTTGTAATGAAATGAGCTGTCAATTGCTGCTACTGGGCTTTTGAAGCATAAACTTTTAATGGTTGTTTTAACCTTGTGGGAGTTTTTTGAAGACTTTTGTAGCCATGTCATGAATATTTGGCTCATGTATAAGTAACTGAACATGGCTTTGTTTTTATGACTATTTGTACATACTTGAACTTACTGTAAGTTTTTTTTATGACAAACTAATAAAACTTTGAAACAGGCTTCTAATTATTCCATGTTGAAATGATGATTTGGTAAACTATCATGCTTTTCAATTCAGTAGTGTAATGCTTAAAGCAAGCAATCTTAGAATAGGTGAAAATTTCAGAAGCTCAAATAACAGGTATCTAATTTCTTGATAGCCTGATTCTTTTTCCTTAAAGTAAATTTAATGCTTTATTTTCCACTACCCATGTGCAACAGGAGTGAAATGATAATGTGGATTGATTGTATTAAAAAATAAACATGCTCTGAACATAGTAATTTCAGGAACCTGTAGACTGCTCTTTCAAGTGGTGTGTATGGATTTGTAATAAAACAACCCTTTAATCAGGGGTAGGTTTTGGGGTGGAGAGTGTTGGCAACTGATCTCAGAGCTGGAAAAGAGCTAGAGCTCTTACATTGTTAACAGACTCAGTTTCTGTTTTTATTACTGTTTTCTGTCATGAAGTCTGACCAGACATTAAAAGGCTATCTACCTCCCCAAGCTTGGCATAAAATGATTTGCTTTGGCAGTCAATAATCCTATGTAATGTATGCTAGCTAGCATGTAAATAGATGGTCCATCCAGCATCTGATTTATAAAGGAAATGCTGTAACTCCTGTTGCCAAAGAAATAATGAGATACAAGATAAGGAATGGAATGACAAATCTGTTTATTAATGCAATGTTTTTGTTCCCCCTCCCTAAAACAGGAAAAGTAGGCTAAACTGCATACTGTGTTCATAAAATTAAATGTGGAACATAGCCTATTAGAGAGCTTGTGTATGTCCCCAGCTCACAACAAGGAAGTTGACTGTAATTATGTTACAGGTCAGCAGTATACCTTCTGCTTTCAGACAACATGGTAGCTATCATGCTTGTGTTAGTTACTGTGTTAAATGTTGAAAATGTAGGCTTGTTACTGGTGCAAATCATTTCTTCAAGGTTTCTATCACCTAGTGCTATGAACACAGGTGCATGTGTACTGAGCTGCTGCTGCAGCCCACGGGTTTGGCCAAATTTTGGTAAGCAGAGGCATTCCCATCAGTTTGCTCTGTCAAGCTGCTGGGCTTGCTAAGCACAAAAATCTAGTTGTAGGGAATTTACAGGAGTGCCTTTCTGCCTTTTGGTGGGTGTATGGTTGGTGACAGTTCCTACAGGGCATTCTCTCTTTGCCAGTACATGCCACTCCCTTTCTTCCATGGTGTAAAGGCAATCTGCTGAGCCATGCTAAATTTAATAATATTTTATAAGCTATTAAATGAAGTCTAGTTTTCAGTAAGGCTGTCTTTTGTTGAGTCACGTGCAATCGTATATTTTCTTGAATGTCTATACTATGCCATCATTACCATGCCTTTCTTCTTCCCCGTGGATTTGCCAGTTTTTCCTCTCCTCCTGAGACTCCCCATCCCTTTTTAATGCTCTATTTTTGGCCTGTGGGATGGGAAAAGGTGCCATGTGCTGTGGCTGAGCTGGTGCTACACATGTGCTGACTTGACTGGTATGTGCCTGCTGTGTGGCATGGATGTTGTCCCAGTTTGTTCAAAAACCTTTTTTTCTACAGGAGAGGAAGGCATTTTGATTTTATTTTTTTTCAGATTGATTTTACTGTGTCTGTTTCTAAAGTCAGTTCCTATGGTACAAGTAAACTGCTGCTTACCTCAAAACAGCTGTTAATTACAACTGATTTAGTAGTGGGCTTTTCCCTGGTTTCCTATCCTAAGTACTTTTATTGATCTCTATAGGTTTTTGTTTTGTCCTGTTTTGTTTACTAAACACTACTTGTGTAATACAGCTGCATGGGAGTGTATATGTATGGAGAAATGGAAAATAATAAGGGTGAAAAGAGCTGTTCTGCTGTGTTTTATAACTTTCTGTATCTAGAGAAGGCTAATGTACTGCATTTTTATTAAAAAAAAAAAAAAAAAAAAAACCAAAAGCCAATATCAGTGTGGTAGTTTTACTCTGGTAGACAGTTGAGCTATGCTGTGACTGCTTTCTCACTTCCCCTCCTCAAAGGGAAAGAGGGAGGAAAATATGATAAAAAGTGCTCAAGGGTTGAGATAAGGACAGGGACATCACTCAACAGTTACCATCACGGGCAAAACAGACTCAGCATAGGGGGAATTTAGAAATTACCTGTTATTAAGAAGCTAGAGAAGTGAGAAACAAACTAAAACTAAGAACACAGGGAACGAGGGGGAGTTGGGGCTGTAGTCAGTCCCTGATGCTTTATCTGCTCCTCTTTCATGGTCCCTCTCTGCCTCTGCTTCACATGGGGTCCATCCTGCAGGATGCCGTCCTTCCCCAGCTGAGCCTGCGGCGGCCTCCCACAGGCAGCAGCTCTTCAAGACTTGCTCCCACGTGGGTCCATACCATGGGGTCCATCTCCCAGGAGCAAACTGCTGCAGCTCGGGTCCCCTGTGGGTGGGCGGCAGCTCCCCCCAGACCCCTGCTCCTGCGTGGGCTCCTCTCCACAGGCTGCAGCTCTGGCCCGGGGCCTGCTCCTGCGGGGGCTCTCCATGGGCCGCAGCCTCCTCCAGGCCACATCCACCTGCTCCACCGGGGGCTCCTCCACCCATGGGGGGGCTGCAGCGTGGAGATCTGCTCCATGTGGGACCCATGGGCTGCAGGGGGACAGCCTGCTCCACCAGGGGCCTCTCCACAGGCCGCAGGGGAACTGCTGCTGCGTGCCTGGAGCACCTCCTGCCTTCCTTCTGCACTGACCTTGGGGGCTGCAGGGTGGCTTCTCACTCCTCCGTCTCCCAGCTGCTGTTGTCCAGTATTTTTTTCTTTTTTTTTTCTTCAATCTGTGCTCACAGAGGCATAAACAGTATTGCTTACTGGCTCAACTCTGGGCAGCAGCAAGTCCCTTGTGGAGCTGGCTGAAACTGGCCCTGTCTAACGTGGGGCAACTTCTGGATTCTTCTCACAGAAGCCACCCCAGTAGCTCCCTGCTACCGAAACCTTGTCATATAAACCCATGACAATCAGATAATGTCAACTTTATGCATAGGCATATGATGTTTCTTTACAGAGCACTTTTGAACTGCTGGCAAAATTGTTATGGGAAAATGCTAAGACATTAAATAGCAAAATATTAAGCATTCTTTATTGCAATACTTCAAAAGTTGTCAGCAAAGTTAAAAAGCAATTTTCTATTGCATCTGGTTTTGACAAAGTAAATATTCTAATACTTTTACGTGCTTAATTCATTAACTTCCTTCAGTGAAGGAGCATGTTTCCTAAATCTGAAGTTCTACACAATGTTGTGATACCACATTCCTTCTCTTTTAATGTACAGGACATAAAGGCCAGACTGTAGATTTGTTAAATAATCTGAGAATGAACGAAAGAGATATTTATCTCAGTTTGTATGTACAACATGGGAAAATAGTGCTTGTATAGGCAGGTGCAGATCTATTACTTTCTTATGAGTGTTGCTAGTATGCATTTATATATGTAATATATTAACATTATTATTATTGCTGAGCAAAATTAAATAAATGCTTATGCAAAACTAATGAGAGACTTTCTAGAAGAGGACATGCAAATAACAGGCTTGAGAAAACATGACCAATAAAGGTCATAAAAATTTCTTACAAAGATGTATGTAATCCCTAAGCATAGTTTCCACGACTACAAAGTGAAGGCACAGTGTACGTAGGGTCTGTTGATGATAGCATGCCTGTTACCCTCATTAAAAACCATAATAAATTTGGTAAGACAAATAGCACTGTTCCTGAAATGTATACATGTATTTGCATCTTTACCTTTTGGACGCTGATTGCCGTAAAACACAGAGGCTTTGAATTATAGACTACTTGAAGTAGCCCTGCAAAAAAATCTAGGTAACTAAAAATGCTAGTAGCTCTGCTGCCCCAACTTTACAACTGATACTGAATTTTAGCAGCCTCCATCCGAGACTGCAGTTTGGCGTTACAAAGATCCATTGTTAGGATGACTACCATGCAGGTAGTCAGGCATGCTGTAGAGAGGCTCACACACAGGGAATAGTGGGTTCATCTCCACAGGAGTTTTATGGACTTTTTAGAAACCCTTTGTTCTTATTTCTTAACAGTGCAATGGCAGACACACAAGGGAGAAGGTGGTAGATAAAGGAGGTGATGTATAATGTTAAAGGCAACACTTATCAAGTTACAGCAGGTAAAAACTTGATATATTTAAGATGTTTTTGTTTTCCCTCTATTAAGCCCTAAATGCACTGCAGAATCTTTACACATTCAGGTGACTGCAAAGTAGAGGGATGGCTGTGGCAAATTGGTCTGAATAAAAAACTGCATACAAGAAAGTTAAAAGGTCCTTTACAAGATAACAGCCACATTTTCTGTTTTCCAGCTTACATTAACAAACTATTTTTATCCTGTTAATATTATCTTAGACCTCTGTTGCATTGTATGTGTGCGCACATACATACACCAGTCACAAAATTTTCTGGTGACATCCCTAAAAATTCAAAAGTATTATTGCTGCCACTGATCACCGTTGAATACTAATTAACTGTTAGTGAAACAGGATTTATTTTTTTTAGTGTTTCAGTATTTAAAGGGCATCCATTTTCTTAACTGAAAAAAAAAGTATGAAAATTTATGTGTACGCTCATTATGCATAAAAAGGCAACAAAAGTAATGAAGGTCTAGATTCACCTAGGTTTACCATCCACCACATGCCTAATAGTTACACTCCTCATCCCTCCTGGTGTACAAGAGAGAAAGCAGCAAGATTTCTGCTAGCAACAGCATGAGGAAGCAACCACCCTTCCTAATAGGCTGATGGTCTACAGTCAGACTTGTGTGGATCAGCCAGTGTGCAGAACACATGGGTTAAAGAAATAGCCAAAGCTCAGAGGAAAGGTGAAGCTCAGAGGATCCAGTGAAATATTGTAGAGCAGATGTCATGGCATGAAGGTTTCTCATGAGCTGTGCTCACCACAAAGAACGCTAGTGGCAGGTTTAGGTGGTGGCTTTCTGTAAATGGGAGACTGCAGTTCCGCAGAGCTGCCTGGAGCAAACTGCTGAAGGAGGTGTAACCAGCCCAGAAGAGTGAGAATGAAGCACTTCAACACACAGCAATTACAGCTTAACAGGTGTTATTATCTCTTTTGAAGGTGGTAATGAGGTTTCTTGAGCTCATCTCCTCTCCAGATGTTCATAAAAGTATGTTTTTTGTTTTGTTTTGTTTGTTTTTAAATCTTCTTGTGCCATTATCTGCCTTATCCATACTCATTTGTATGTACAAAGAGAAGTAATCCCATCTATTTGGGGCTGATGTGGTTTTATCACCTCACTTCTGGCGTTATGATTGCCTTTCAGAAGGCTACCTGTTTGCTGAATGGTAGTTATTAATCCTAATTTTTCTACATGAGCACAGCCTCAAGCAAACAATTTTGGTGCAGGGGAATATTAGGCTAGGTGGTTTAGCTCTTCTGAAAATACGTTTTGGAAAAGTATACTTACACATACTGAAAATAAATCCAATTGCCCCTCAAGAAAGATGCTGATTTTATAATTGTTCAGGACATAAGAGGAAGATTTGGAGCTACAGCAAAACTGTCAAGGTTCTGGTAACATACTTACAGCAATGCCACCACATTTATAACTGAAAATGGCTCTCTAATTGTCTCATTAATTGAAATGAAGTAGTCATCTGTATGATAACCTGATGGGACAGGAGGGACAGGAGGGACAGGGTGCCTGTCCCTCCTATTTAGGAGGAAAGGCTGAGGAGAGTGCTGGTGTGAGGAAAGCCGTTACCTCAGGGGCATGGCGCTGGTGTTTGGGACAGGAGGGCTGAGGTTCCCCTGAGGAGAGAGGCGGCTCAGGGGACACTGTGCAGGAGCAGGGCAGCGGGGGGTTGTGGTGGGAGACAGTGAAGTGCTTCATGTGAGGGAACAGCCAGGGCCAGGTGGGATGGAAGGAGAGGGCTGAGGTGTGGGAAGCTAATGTAGGGTGGAAGGAGGAGGAAAGCAGTGGGAAGCGAACAATGGGAGTCAGAAACAAGAAAGGGTAAGGATGTAGGCAAGAACTAGGACATAGGACTGTTTGAGTGAGTCCAGAGAAGGGTGACGAAGCTGGTGAGGGGTCTGGAGAACAAGTCCTACGAGGAGCGGCTGAGGGAGCTGGGCTTGTTCAGCCTGGAGAAGAGGAGGCTCAGGGGCGACCTTATTGCTCTCTACAGATACCTTAAAGGAGGCTGTAGCGAGGTGGGGGTTGGTCTGTTCTCCCATGTGCCTGGTGACAGGACGAGGGGGAATGGGCTAAAGTTGCACCAGGGGAGTTTTAGGTTGGATCGTAGGAAGAACTTCTTTACCGAAAGGGTTGTTAGACATTGGAACAGGCTGCCCAGGGAGGTGGTGGAGTCACCATCCCTGGAAGTCTTTAAAAGACGTTTAGATGTAGAGCTTAGGGATATGGTTTAGTGGGGACTGTTAGTGTTAGGTCAGAGGTTGGACTCGATGATCTTGAGGTCTCTTCCAACCTAGAAATTCTGTGATTCTGCGAAGAAATGCTGAGATATTTATTCAATTCTAAGATGCGTTTTGACTGTGGGCGATCAGATGCAGATGACTGAACTGGGACGTAAGAATCATGATGTGGAACTGACTGGAAAAAAAAAAAAAAAAACACAAAAAACAAAAACCATAAAAGCAATGCCAAACACCCAAGTGCTTCCTTTTCACCCCGAGGTGCGCTCGGGGCTCCGGGACACCATCTTGCCCGGCGTTTTACTGCAGCTCCAGGCTCCCCACCCGCGCTCTGCGCGCCTCAGCCCCCTGCAGGCAGGGCCGGGCCGGGAGCTGAGCGGGGCCGGCGGCCGCGCTCCCCTTAGCGGCAACCGGCGGCGAGGCCGTGACGCGCTGCCAGAGCCGGGCGGCGATTGGCTGCCGGCGGTGGGGCGCGTGCGCCGC